AACTCTTTTGGTGATTGATAATCTCTCACGTCAAGATAGCCGCTTTTTGGTACATAATGATTATATTTCACGTAGCCTAACGCAACAGGAACAATAATACCGCTGTTTAGAGCATATAAAAACTTTTCACTCACGTACTCATCGCACAAACTATTTTCGAATGCAAGATAAAATTTATACTTTTCATAGACAAACTGTCGGCAGTCTTTGACGTTTGCGGGGCACTTCCTGCCACATCTACCATAAACGTCTACCTTCATGTGTTTCTTCATTTCTTTGATATACTCTAGTCGTTTACTCGATCCACCACAATTCGAAATGATGGCAACAGCTAGAGCATCTTTTTTGTCTAAAAAACTGTAATCAATATCTCTAATAATATGATTGTCGAATAACCAAAAATAATCGCGTAAATTCGACCCGGTAATATCACTATCTGGACGATATGTCTGTGTCCAATTGAATACCGATTTGTATTTATTATCGAGAGTTGGTGACTGGACGGGTGATTCTTTGAGAAAGAAAATAAAACGTTGTTGTGCTCGTCGTTTTAGTTGCTTAAGTTTAGAAATGTCGAAAGATTCTCTCATATGAATTAGAGCAGCATCACTCTTACTAAATCGATTTCGATCGATAGTAACATGACAAGCGTTTACACTAATCGGACAGTTTACTGGATTTAAATCATTATTATATACATCTTTCAGATTTTGATTATACCAGTAAGAACGACCGAAAAATTTTGTGTAATACAAGATTAATTTTGATTTCATCACTGTAGTATTATTTAATATTACGGGTTGTTTCAATGATAGATAAATACGACTAAGTATCGAATTTTTATTGAGCTTTAGTCTCAGATTATCGATTTTTTTTTTCCAATAATTGCGTACGACTGACTGTGAATTGATTTTCATATTTTCGATAGGAATCGAATAATATGGAACCGGTTGATTGTACCATAATCTCGTTGTCAAAGGATAAAATGTAGCGTTTACCGATAAAGGTATTCGATTTAATAATGCAAAAAGATCTGAACTATTTGGTGATATGGACAATAAATAGAGAAGACATTCTGGACACTTATCAATATGATCTAACAGTAAACTCTTCTGTGTAGATGATGATAGTAAAGAGTGATTCCAGTGAAATGATGGTCTTAGATTAGTGCCAAGCTGGTAAAAATACAGTTTTAAAAGATAACCGAGGCATAATAACGACACAATAAATAAAACATATTTAATAATATCTGATTGCATTCAGTATCATCAATGAAACAAATATGAACGAATTAATACCAGTTATGTCATTTAACTGATGCTCGAATAGAAACCTGTTTGTGAAGAGTGATAAATACATGTAAAATGTAATTGTATGATATGTTTATTACGGATAAGCAATTAATTGATACACTTGATTAACAGAGTGGGGCGAGTACTTTCTCGAATACTTAACTATTCGATGTGGTATTCTAAATTTTCCATATTTTAGAGGAGTAGAACAATTTTTTGAAGTTCTTCTCCTAGATTCGATCTGCCGACCTTTCATACGTTGCACTTCTCCAACTACGTATTTTTCC